TTCGAGTGAGCCTTGTTATATTCGTTGTGTGAAGCCAATAATCTTCTTAAGCCAGCTATTTTTGAGAATCGCAATGTTCTACAACAACTGCATTGTGGGGTAAGGAAGGGTAACTTTTACATGATGTTGGAAACGAAGCTGGCTGCCTTCTTTTTTCTTCCAAATTTTATTTGTTTTATGTGTCTCCTTCCAGGGAGTCATGGAGGCAATTAGGATCAGGTGTGCTGGATATCCTACAAGAAAACCTTTTTTGGAATTTGTAGATCGATTTGGCGTGCTGGCACCTGAAGTTTTGGATGGGAGGTAATTTGATTTTTTTTTTTTTTTTTGGGTTAGTTTGATTTCTTGGTTACTTTTTATAATTATTCTTTTGATAAGTTTATTTCTCTTAATTAAATTACACATGTTCAAACAAACTATTTAAACTTCCTATTTTTGTCATGTTTGTATTTTATATATACTAGTACGGATGAGTTTGATGCTTGCAAGAGGCTTGTAGAGAAGGTGGGATTGCAAGGCTATCAGGTAATAATATTACTCATTATTGTATGAAGAAAGCTGTTTCTAAAACGGGTGCCAACTAAAACTATGTTATTGCTACATGGCAATTTCTCTCAAGTCATTGTGGCCATAATAAACTCTCAAGTCATTTTTATTTTTTTTTTTATGGTCATTATGTTGTCAACTTAGAGTGCATCAATATATTTTGGCATTTTTATTGTGTATAGTGGCATCATTTCTAGTTCCTTCCTCATCAATACATTTTTTTCATGCCTGGTTGTTCATCATACCTTTAAATCTGCCTCGAACTGTGATGGATGTTTATGATGCCAATGCTTCAGTATAAAAAGGAATACTAGCTAGATTGATGATTGCTGATTCCCCTGATATCATTGATATGTTTGAAACATATCATTGATATATTTGTGATGTTCTTGTATTTAGGTGCCGATAAAAAAAAAAGAAAAAAAAAAGAAGTAATTAGGCACTATAATTCTCATTTGCATGAAAACCAAAGATACAAGGCTTAAAACATTAGGATATATTTGTTCATCCATACTAGATGGTTTTTGGTCTGTTTGGGAAAAAGTAGAGCATCTGTTTTTGGATTCTTATGTTGCCTTTTGACATCTTGTAATTAATATAAATTCAAATATTGGATTATAATTACTCATTATTCAGAGGAAAATCCATTCTTACATGGCTCGCAAAACTTTTGTCTTAGTTCGTCGTTCTGCAATACGGATTCAATAGAGGTAGTTAATTGTGTCAGATGTGTCTTTTTCAGCTGAACTTTCTTAATTAGCTCATCAATCCTATCTGCTGAGGTCTTGAAAGTATATAACTCATTGATTTTTTCTTTATGTTGATTACAAGACAACTTGCTCGGGAAGTTTACAAAAACTTTAGGAGAGAAGTTTCTTGTCTGAGAATTCAGAGAGATTTTCGTATGCATCTTGTGAGGAAAGCTTATAAAGAATTGTGTTCCTCTGTTGTTTCTATTCAGGCTAGCATGTGTGGAATGGTTGCACATGATGGATTCTTTTTTCTTTTCTTTTTTCTTTTTTTCCTCTGATCTGACTGGGGGATTGGGTGTTTTGGTTCACTTTCTTCTTATTTTTTGTGTTAAATGGGAGAGGGAGTAGAGAGAGAGAGAAGAGGGTAATGTTATTTTGTGGCTTTGTATACAAAGTAGTAATTTTTTGATTGAGAATTGTGAATTCAATTTTTGGATATATTATTTTGTGGGTAATGGTGATTGGATATTAAATTGAATGGGAAAGTGAATTAATGTTGCATTTGCTATTTGAATGGGAGTTATTATTTCATATTAGTGCTATTCAATTTTATTACAGGTATTTTTTTAATTCAATCCATAAAATTAGCATAATTTAAATATATAAAAAAAAGAAGAAGAAGAAAGATATGCCACTATCATAGTAACGGTAGGAATTTTTAAAATAAAAAAAGATATGACGGCGTTTTAAAAGCATCGCTAAAATCATAGTGACATCATAGTACCGTTAGGGTAGGACATTTGGCGGCGTTTACTAATGCAACGATATTTTTCAAACATCATAAAGTTATAGCAACGGCCGCGTTGTCGACGTTTGGTATTAACGTCACAAAAAGAATTAACAGTGTTTTTGCACTTATAACGACGTTTTTTAAACGCCGCCAAATGTGAATTTTCCAACAGTGTAAGCCAACGCACTGGCGGTTTTTATGGCTATGTTCATACGAATAGGCCATGTGAGTGAACCAACATTTGCTCGATCCCCGTGTAGATGATCCGGTACCATTGGGAATATACTCGTAGACGAGGAAATATACTATAAATATGTTAATAGCAAAACATTTATGTTAATGGTAAACACGTCTCTTTTTTCTTTTATTCTATGTCCACAAATTCAAGATCCAAACAGAGTCTTAGCGTTCTGACTGATATTTAGAACTTCGAACCATCTTACCATGGCATATAGTGCCAAAACCTTCATCTCCCAATTCTTTAGTAGGATCAAAGTTATGCGTGGCTTGTTCAAGTTCAGTATAGGAGAAGACAGGACCCCAAAGTAGACACTACCTCCTTCAGTGTCTGCTTGCAGGGAGCGATTAGAAAATTTGTCCCTTGAAGAGATGTATAAAGAATTATAATTCCATTCCTTGCGAAGCCGAGTAAAAACTATGACCAAGCAAAGAAAAAATATACCACCTCCCGGTAATACTGAAGAAAATAAAGGTGTAGCTAGGTTTTGATTCACTCATCATACATATTGAAAAAAAGAAAAGAAAAGAAAGATTGACTGAAGATGATGTATTGAATTTTTAAATGGGAGAACAGGTACATAATGAAGGTTGCACAGGAAAAGAAAAAATAAGGGGAAAAAAATAACATTTGATGTATTTTTGCAATATAGATGCATCTAAATTTATTCATGCTTATAGATACTACTCAGAGGTATATTACCTGTTGCTAGAATCAATTGTAAGTGTCCTGTAAATAATGTCATGGAGAAAAACATCAGGCAATTTATTATGAAGGAATCAAAAATTGAGAAATAATAAACAGAATTATCACACAAGCATACAAAAGATTTACGCGGTACTTCTATAAGTCTACATCCATAGGTGAAGAACAAGAGAACATAATGAGTTAGCTCTCTCTAAAACCCCCCACTGTACAGAAGCTCTCAAGATCACAAAACCTGGAACTCCAAAATAATCCATTACATACAAAGATCCGAATAATACCAAACAGGGTCAATATAGACACATATGCAAAATAGGGGTAATCCAAATGAGGAGGTTTCAAACGAAGAGAGAGAAATTGAAGAAGATGGGGTAATCAAAATGGGCTAGATCTTCATCAATCTTAACATATTAAAGTGGTTCCACAGACCCTTTCAAATGAAACATTTGTTGTTCCATGGACAAAGTTGAGCCTATATGATAGCCCCCCTTAACATTTATTACGTAAGGGGGACCTTCAGCAACATAAAAGAGAGTGCGGGAAAAGCAGATACAGAAATAGGGCAAACGGAAGTGTGACACACTTAAAAAAGAGTAAAGCACTCCATCATAGCACAAAAGAGCATCCACAGAAGTTAGATCTAGCGAAAAGTAGAAGCTTTTATGTCCAGCTGAAAAACAGAATGGAATACTCTAAAGATGAGCTGCTTCATAACTCCAACAAGCAAAAAAACGGATGCACTACCTCGCAATGACTTTCACATAGCTCAATCTGTTGCTCGTTGCTTTTGAGCCTAAGCCCATGTTCTTTTAGTAAGCAAGCTTATATATACATATATATATCCTCAATAAAGGCTAAAGGTGTCTTGCTTGAATTTGAGAAGAAAAAAAAAAGGTAGAAAGAAGTGCCTTTTTATATAAACGTTACCTTCAGATTTTTCACCAGAAACCGCCAAATTCTAGAATCTCTTATATCCACACAAAAAACAGCAAGTTGTAAATGTACCTTCATATTTGTCATAAAAAATCTCCCAATTCTATAATCTCTTATCTCTGTCATAAAAAACAGCCCAATGTGAGTTCAAGTAATATTGTGAAATCTGCTTCACTTATCAAGCTGGCAATTTAAGCTTGCTCTGGAGCCCCACCTGACTTGAACCTGTATTTTAAGCTTTTACCACTCAGAATTCTGATCTTAAAGAAAAATGACCCAGGTTCTAGGTGTTTGATTAGTATGACTCCTGAATTGCTTAGTCATTTTGCACATGATTTTTGGGTGGAACCCATTCATGCACAGGGATAGAAGTGTAACTACCCAATTAGACTAATATAACAGAGGCAGAAAGTGATTTGAGTTAACAACAGGCTTGGTGTGTACTGATGAATGATTTCTCTTATGTAAAATAGTAGTGGTTTTTTTTTTTTTTTTATTCACCCAAAAAAAAAACTAGATCTTTTTCACCATTCTATTGCATCATTTAGCAACTTGTTACTTTTGTTCATCATTCTAGCCAATTGTGTGGTTCCAAAATGTCTTCAAGATTTCCATCTGTGGCTAAAATGCTTCAACTAGACCTATCTTCTTCTTCTACAACTAGAAGCCACTTCCAATAGTTTTCCCTTTCTTAGCTGAAAAAACATAAAGTATTTATGCTGGCAGCGACTTCTGAACATATGAAAGAAGTAATCCCCATTGCTGTGCCGATCATTTTCTTTCTCCTTGTTTCTATCTGATAAATTGAAAGGGCACACTATATGCACTTATCAGGAAATATATGTTTTGATTTTCCAATATTTAAATTGCTGTTGAAAATAACACATCACAGAATCTGCTAAATAGGAAAAGTACATGGTTTATCCATTCCTTTTCATCCATTTCCTTAAATCCCCCAAAATTAAAATAAAAAATTTTAAAAAAGAGGAATAAAGATCATATGAATCCTAGATTAGTGAAAGCTAACAATGAAATGGGAATTGAACCATAACTGTATAAAGATCATATGAATCCTAGATTAGTAGAAAGCTAACAATGAAATGGGAATTGAACCATAACTGAAATGGGAAATGGGAAATGGGAATGTGCACATACAAATGAGAGATCCATTAACTGTATACATTCCCTCAATATAATTATCTGATATATATCAGTAACAAGACAACCATATATGTAAAGAAAACAAAATGCAATCCACTCGCATGAATATGATTACAAGTGTCAAACATTTTCTTAGGATCTACCTTTGAAGTAAAGCAGAGTAAAATGAAGCCTTAGCCACTGGAAATGGATGTGGCAGAGGTACTAACCGATCCATCGGTCACTGAATCCGGTGAAAGTGCTGCCTTGCTATTCTTCAACAACACAACGTCATCAGTCTCGGGCGAAGGTGGTGGCTGGGTACAATTCAACACCCCAACAGTGTCGATTTCCCCCCTGATGTTGTCATATTTGTATTCCTGAATTTCCTTCAAAGCCTCCAAAACCTCATCCATTGTAGGCCTCATTTCCTTTTCACGTTGCAAACACTGAAAAGCCAGCTCTGCCACCAAGGTAGTCATCCTCTCAATCAAGGAATCTGAATCAAACCCAAGAAAAGGGTCAATTAACTCATCAAATGCACGATTTTGAATCCTGTTTGTTGCTAAGTCAGCCAAATTAATCTCATGCCCATGCCTTCTAATGTCAACAGCTCGCAGTGATGATATGAGCTCAATGAGCACAACCCCAAAGCTATAGACGTCACTCTTATCAGTGAGTTGGTAACACTGGTGATACTCTGGATCAACATAACCAGGAGTCCCCTGTGGAGCAGTTGAGACATGAGTGACATCGGTGGGGAAGAGTCTTGAAAGCCCGAAATCTGCAACTTTGACACAAAAGTTGTTGTCGAGGAGTATGTTGTTAGTCTTGATATCGCGGTGGATAATATCAGAAGCATGGAGGTAAGTCAACGCACTGGCGGTTTCTATAGCTATGTTCATGCGAACAGGCCATGTAAGTGAGGCATTCTTTGCTCGATCACCGTGTAGATGATCAGCAACAGTGCCATTGGGAATGTACTCATAAACAAGGAGGAGTTCACGGCTGTGGCGAGAGGTGCAACCATAAAGGGAGACAAGATTACGGTGGCGCAAGCACGTGAGGATTTGAACTTCATTAATGAACTGTGTCACTCGCTTGTAGTTGTGCTCGTATAGGCGTTTCACTGCAACTTCCCGCCCATCCCTGAGTTTGCCTGGTTGCGGAAAGATAATAAAATGTGCCATAGTATATGTCAATTGTATGAATTTAGAATTGCTTATACAAATGTGCTACCACAACTTTGAACCTTCTTACCATGGTACACAGTGCCAAAACCTCCATCTCCTAGTTCTTGAAAAGGATCGAAATTGTTAGTTGCTTCTTCAAGTTCTGTGTATGAGAACACATGGACTCCAAAGAAGATAGTACCCCCTTCGATGTCATCTTTTGAGGAAGGATTTGAAGAAGTTTTCCTTGAAACGAAACATGAAGAGATATAATCCCATTTCTTACGACAACTAATAATAAATATGAGCAAGCAGATAACACCTCCAGGTAAAGCTGCAGAAGATACAGTGATAGTATTACAACAACAAACAAGAAGCAGTGAGAATCAGTGAGGTGTTTCTGGCGAACTAGACTAGTCCCAGTTGAGTAAAAAACAAAAAATTATTGACCAGACGTCGCAAGCTATGAAGCATGGATACGGAATAAAGATGCAATACAATAATATTTAGTTTTATAGTATACAAGAGCTCAAAAAATGACGAGTAACCAACATCCTTTAGGAATTATATATTAGTTTAAGAGTTAATAGTCAATTTATTTATTTTCATTGGATATGTAAATTTGATAAAATCTGAAAAAGTAGAGTGCTACTTCAATACCACTATTTTCTTCTTCGTTCAGAAATTAGAAAATATTAAAAAAACAATTCTTGTATTTATTCCAACAATTATCCTAATATGCAAAAATTATTACAATTTCAATTTTATAATAGTTTGGATACGTGATTAATGCTTTAACATTAAGTATCAGATATGTTTAGAAAATATTGGATATGTATTTTCAAGTATCTAAGGAGTACCAATATCTATAAGATATGGACACGACTCCTTTTTCTGAAGTATCCGTGCTTCATAGGCCGTGGGTGAAAACTTTAAACATGGGAAACCAGAAAGAGTCATGTACCGAAGGTTACATGAAATCTTTTGGAGAAATTTTGAAGCATTTGTGCATATGGCTTTTTTACCTGCGGCTAGAATCCATCTGTGCTTTGTTCCTGCTGCAACAAATGTCAAACCAAGACAAAATTAATTGAATGTATTTCACATTTCACACTCTAAAACCTTAACAAAGAACAGTTAAACCCTCCACATATAATGGACTGAGGACTCTGAATTGAGGTTTTGAATTGCTAATACCTTTATTGGTGGTTGCACAGTGAAATTTCTGGTTGTCATTTTGACATTGGCCTCCTTCTTCTTGGTAACACCTCTGACAATCCTCAGACACATGCAATTCGAGAGAGAAGGTATGGGTTAACAGATTGAATGGGTCATCCTCATTAGAATTCGTATTTAAGAAATTCAGGGGCAGCTGAATTACTGAGCAGCTAGGTGAAAGAGGTACAGAAGGGGAGGATTGATGGTCTGGATCTTTATAGTCTGAAGAATATTTATAGTACAAATTGTAGTCGTTGCAGTTTGTGTAATTATGAAAATGATCTTTGGGGGAGACAAAAGGAAAACTTTTGTTGCATTTGAAGAAGGTGAGATATGGTGGATCGACTGTGAATGAAATAGAAGAAGTATTGGGAAAACTCAAATTCTTGAAGACATCACAACTTTCATTTCCTATTTGGGTTTTTAGAAATTGGTCACGGATTTGTAAAATGATACCGGATAATTTTTCCTCTATTGCTACTACATCATACCACCGCCCTTCATTTCCCAGTTGGATTTTTGAAGGTTCATCACAAGTTACCGTGCACAACCCACATTGGGGATACATAGAATTGGAGAATGGAAAGCTTAGTGGTTGATGGAATGGTTTGCAGTCGAAGGACTTGGGACAAGTATTCTGGTTTTTGTTGTCTTCTTTGGCCGAGAAGGAGTGAAGAAGAAGAAGATGAGAGAGGAGAAAGATAGCACGAAAGAAGGGAACATCCATTGAAATGGAAATTCCCAGAAAATAATAAAAAAACCAAAGCAACCACACACAAAAGCAAAAACAAAACAAACAGGAGTGAAATGATATTCCTAAAAACTCATCAGTTTTTTGAACTTTGTGCTAGTGCAGAATTCAATATAATTTAGAATAGATGATGTTGAAAGATCTGCTCAACACGGCAGTTGACTTGAATGATCCCAATTGGCCCTCTCTCTATTTCTTCCTTGGAATGGTCGGTCGTGCAAAGACCCCAAATGCAAGAGTTTCTTTCTCACTTTCCTCATTTTGATTTTTGAGTCCGATTTTATTCACTCATCCACACTCTTCTCTTGCTGGTTAGAACAATGAGGCTCACTGCTTTAAATGGGCCCACCTCACTAGCTTTAACAATCAAAGAGAATGGTGGACTGAGTCAATAGGGCTTTTAAACTAGGCATAATTTTGACGGATTTTTCAAAATAAGTTAAAATGTGGTTAGAAATTATGTTTTCACTGTTTTTGTAATACAATTGTAGAGAATTTATAAAATCGTAAAAGTGTTGTTATAAAAATCACACTTTTAGTTAAGAAACTATTATTTTTAATTACGCTTTTAAATAATTTTTTTTTTTTAAAAATATGATTTCTAACCACGCTTTTAAAGAATTTTTTTTTCAAAAAACGTAATTTTTAATCACGTTTTTAAAGAAAGCTATGTTGTAAAGAAAGCATGGTTAAAAACCACGCTTTCAATAACAAACTATCACGCACTCACAAACACTCACACACTCTCTCTCTCTCTCTCTGACACACATCACTCACACACAATCATACTCACATCAAAATAAAAATAAATAAATTTTCAGAATTAAATAAATAATATTTAAAAATAAATAAATTTTAAGAATTAAACCGTAAACCCTAAAATAAAAATAAATAAATAAATTTATCCCTAAACACGTTTGGTAACGTTTACGATTTTTATTTATGTTTACAAAAATTTTATAAATTCGTTTTTGTTTATTTTTAGAAAAACATAAATTACAAACGCGTTTGGTTTAAATAAAATATTTAAAAAAATTTAAAAACATAAACTGAAAAATATGTTTGTTCAAGCTTAAAATATTTATATTTATTTATTTTTTTATGACAATGGGATCACACATATTATAATTGAAAAAAAATTAATTAAAAAATAATAATTGAAAAAAATTTAATTGAAAAAAAAATAATTGAAAATATATATATTTGAAAAAAAATTAATTGAAAAAAAAATTAATTAAAAAAATATTTGAAAAAAAATTTAATTGCAAAAAAAAATATTTGAAAAAAAAAATTATCCCTAAACACTAAAATAAAAAAAAATTATCTCTAAACACTAAAAGAAATTTTATCCCTAAACACTTCCCTAAAAAAAATTTCAGATAATTTTAGTGTTTAGGGATAAAAAAAATTTTAGTGTTTAGGTTAATTTTTTTTTTCAAATAATTTTTTTTTCAATTATTTTTTTGATTAATTTTTTTTTATTTTTTTTCTAAAAAAAAAAAATCAATAATTTTTACAAACCATGTTTTTTCCAATTAAATTTTTTTCAATTATTTTTTTTAATTAATTTTTTTTCAATTATAATATGTGTGATCTCATTGTCATAAATAATAAATATAAATATAAATATTTTAAGTTTGAACAAATATATTTTTTAGTTTATGTTTTTGAATTTTTTTAAACATTTTGTTCAAACTAAACGCGTTTGTAATTTATGTTTTTCTAAAAATAAACAAAAATTAGTTTATAAATTTTTTGTAAACATAAATAAAAAACATAAACGTTACCAAACGCTACCTTAGTGTTTAGGGATAAAATTTATTTTTTATTTTATTTTAGGGTTTAGGGTTTAATTCTTAAAGTTTATTTATTTTTAAACATTATTTATTTATTTTTATTTATTTAATTCTTAAAATTTATTTATTTTTATTTTGATGTGAGTGTGTGTGAGAGTGATGTGTGTGTGTGTGAGAGAGAGAGAGAGAGAGAGAGAGAGTGAGTGTTTGTGAGTGCGTGATAGTTTGTTATTAAAAGCGTGGTTTCTAATCACACTTTCTTTACAACACAGCTTTCTTTAAAAGCGTGGTTAGAAACTACGTTTTTTGAAGAAAAAAAAAATCTTTAAAAGCGTGGTTAGAAACCACGTTTTTTGAAGAAAAAAAAATTATTTAAAAACGTGGTTAGAAACAACGCTTTCTTAATTAAAAGCGTGGTTTGTAACCACGTTTTTACGATTTTACAAATTTTCTGCGATTGGGATACAAAAACGGTGAAAGCGTGGCTTCTAACCACGTCCGTCAAAACTAAGCCTAGTCTGGGAAATAATTTGATATTTTAGCTTAATTGGGGAAAAGCCCCGAGTAAATATGTATATATATATATATTTATTTATTTATTTTGTTTAAATTTGTGCTAGTTGTTCCGTAACTAATTAGGCATAAATAATTTAAATAAGTTCAAAAAATATGATTATCAAAAAATTCTGAGATGTGTGTTTTTGTTTGTAATAAGTTGTACTAAACATGCCCAATGCATTCCTAATTGATTTACAAGTTTATTTCTTGGGTAAATTACATTGACTTGTATGAGGCCCGGAGAAAATACAATAAGTATTACAGGTTTAGTATAAATACATTAGACTTCCTTAATGTTTTAATTCATATAATATTTAATTTTTTTTATCAGTATTTCGTTAGTTATATAGAATGAAAAAATAATATTGTTATTTCTTTTACATTAAATTTTATATTTTATCTTGTTTATTTTTGTGTCTTTACACAATTTTCATTAGTTGTAGTCTCTTTAATCACTAAAAAAGAAGTCTATATAATTATGCCAAAATTGTGAAACTTAGCGTTGGTTGTGCTTTTTGGCTTTTTGACTTTTTTAGCTATTTTAGCCTGAGCTAAAAAGCTTGGTTTGGGAAGGGCTTTTTGGCTTTTTGATTTTTTTTGTGAGAGAAAAGTGTAATGATTATGGGTTGGATGTGATGTTTTGTTTATTGTGGCTTAAATAACCTATTTTGTCTTTTGTGGCTATTTTAGCCACAAACCATCTTCCCAAACGGAGCTAAATGTATTTTCTTCAAACCTCAAAAGAAGCCAGTGTAATTTACCTTTAATTTTATGTATTCGCCTAGTTAACAGTTTTTAAATGAAATCCATCTTATTTTTCCGGGTAATGCTACACATAAGTCTTTACTTGGACGCTTAACACAATATGTCATAACTACACACCGCATAATTCATAACTAAATATCACAAAAGATCATAACCAGACATATAATAAACCCTTCTATTAAATTTTTTTTTAAAAAAGGACATATAATAAACCCTAAACAAGAGTGTGTATCATGGAATTTCCTAATAATAACACATGATTAGGAAATTCTATAATTAATACACACTCCATTTCTTTAACAAATCAAATAAGAAGATTTTGTTCAGTAATTTTTCTTTTTTTTGTTTTTTTGTTTTTATTACCGTATGAGATAATTTATAAACATGAGAAGAATTACATTAAATTAGACAATTATACTCCACCTACAGTATCTATAAGCTGAACAACTAACACTTAAAGACCAATAATTAATTCAATTGTAGTCCTCGTTAGGTTTTTGGTTTGCCTTTTTGAGACATCGTTGTCTTTGTTTTTCTTATTTTGTATGTTGTTTTTTATTTTTATTTTATTTTAATATAACTGCATTATAATTTTTCTCAAAATTAATTCAATAAAAGAGTCAATAATAAGAAAAAATACACTCAATAAATAAGAAGTTTTAGAATAAAAATAGGGGATTCTAGCGCTCTTACATGGGGGCTGAAACTAAGGTTTTACTATATGCTTTGGATGCTAGTAAATTTAACCTCATTGAAAAATTAAGTTTAATCTCATTAAACAATTATACTGACTCAAACCCAAATATTAAACAAAGAAATTCGAGTACTTACCCACTGAGCCTCCGTTTGGGAAGTAGGTTGGCTTTTTGGCTTTTTTGGCTATTTTAGCCTGGGCTTAAAAGCTTGGTTTGGGAAGGACTTTTTGGCTTTTTGACTTTTTTGAGTTTTTTTGTGAGAGAAGAATGTAATGATTATGGGTTGGATGTGATTTTTTGTTTATTATGGCTAAAATAGCCTATTTTATTTTTTGTGGCTAAAATAACCAAAAAGCCTGCAAACCCACTTGCCAAACACAGGCTGAATCAACCTCTAATGGTATCAATCTTCATTTTTTTGTTAGGGGGGCAAAAATTGCTCTTTTTTCTTCCCTAGAGAGAGAGAGAGAGAGTGAGAAAAGGATATCAAAATTTCAACTGATATAAGTCTGAATATACTAATGCTGTGTTTGGTTGGGGAATTTGAGGAGGGATTTGGAAAAGGAAAGGGAAAAGGTGTGTGAAACTAGATGAAATTTAGGCATATTTTATTCACATTTCACTTATATTTTTCATTTCTCTTTCCAAATCCCTCCTCAAATCCCTTAATCAAACACAACATAAAGAAAGTCCATTAGAAAAACTTGTTAACTCGTCAGAAACGTCAAGAAATAGAACAGAGAGACATGGAAAAAGTCTTCTCCAACTGTCACTTTGGCTCTTAAATTTCCATTTGAGAGAAGAAAAAAAACAACAAAAAAAAAAAGAACAAAAGAAAAGGGAAAATGTTAAAATGAGACGACTTGGTCTATTTACTTCACCAACTACCCTGGTAATAGCAACTCTAATATTATTGATAAAAGTGTATATATAGAAAGTGTATTTTGTATCTTGGGAAATAACTGTGTAGTTTACAACACTCTAATTCTCTACCATTCAAATTAGTTTTTCAGCCTGGAGAAAAGCTGGGCAAGGGCCGGTCTTGAGCTCCTGAATTCTGTCTAAAAAATAGGATTTCAAATAAATTTAATTTTGATGTTATCTTTGATTTACAAAAATGTTCATTCTTATGTTTGGTCCATTAAAATAATATACTACAAATGAAATCGTAGTTTACCGTTTTGAGAAAATAATCATTCAATACAGAGGCTAACAAATGACCATTTCATTCCATTCAATTTCATTCTAGTGAATCAAACACTACGTTATAGTATTAGTAATGTTAAAATGAAGTTTTACAATTTTCTTTAAACAATTGAAGTGATCAATTATTTAAAAGTAATGGATGATTATTTGCCAAATGTATAGATTGTTTATAGAATAGTGTTAACTATATCGGTTACAATTGCTTATGGAGAATAATTTCTTTTGGGTTAATTGATGAAAGTCTATTCTTATGGAACCATATGTTATTTAATTCAAGATTTAATATATATATATATATATATATATGTGTGTGCGCGCGCGCGCGTGTGCGTGTGTTTGTAATAAGGACACACATTGAAAAGTTGCTGGAGGTGGTGGCTAGTGGTGGTGATTTGAACAGATAAGTAACATGTATACATATAGATGACATTTGAACAGATAGACATGTATGTAAGCTTTGATCAAATAGATGTCCTTTTGGATAGATAATGTCCTTTCGGCCAAAAAAAAGATTCAAGCTTGGGCCTATTGACCCAACAATTTCAAAAATACACCTTTAGCCTGGGTGTCCTTTAATTTTGAATTTTTTTTTAAATAGATTGAAGTTGATCCAATTTTACATTAAATCAGCTAAGTCATAGAAAAGTTTGAATAAATTAATAATGTTACTCATTGAAAATGTCTAAAATCTTTCTCAATAATTATGATTTTTGTCTACCTCAATAACTATGAATTATGTCAACTATAAAAATTATATGAAATTACTCAAGAAATACAATTTTATAATTATTGTGAAAGAACAAATTTTAATCGATTCACTCACTAATACAATATTTTCAAATTAAATTTATCACCAAACATTTTAAGTGATTTTCGAACATAACATGGGTAAAAAACTAGTAATTTTGATTATTTCTAATGTAAGCAAATTTTGTATAGGTACAAACCAAAAAAAAAAAAAAATTGAAAATTGAAGATATTATTAAACTTATATATATATATATTAAATATGTATACAGTCCCCGTCTATTGAATTTTCCTTGGGACCCAAAAAGGACAGGGCCAATCCTGCTTGCCAAGAGGGAATGAATAAAAAATGTCTACCGTGTTACTTACTTTATTAGAGCTCTATTATGTGATGAGATTAGACAAAACGACTAAAATGTTCTAAATGTGTCTGTTGTTAAATACGCCTTAATAATGAGAGCTTTTGTTTAGAGTACATATTGTGGTTTTATTATAACAGCAATGCTACATACCTCCAGTGATCCCCCAATACCACGTGTTAGTCTGGAGTTAGCTGAAAACTTAAAAAAAAAAAAAATTGTTTTTTTTGGACCAATGGGAGGGGACCCCAGTACCCCCACTGGGGGTCCAAAGCTTTATTCTTATTATACCTACATTTTCCTTAAATTTTTGTTTTATCCCTTTTAACTCAATATTTTAAAATGTGAATTGTTGAGCAAATTGCAAATAGATAGAATCAAGTTGTAGTATTTCTTCTACATTCTATGAACTATTGGAAGCTCAATATTGATTAGATAATTTTTTTTAGTCACCATAATCCTAGGTTATGTGTTGACTTATTACAATTCTGTTGTCTTGTCTATGTTATGATGTGATGAAATATTATTTATCCTCATATTTATTTATCATCATATTTATTTAAATGATCCAGTGTATATGAGGATCATCACATTTAACAAATAATGGAACCACGTAAAAAGTGAAAATTTTTAAATACTCTCAATAATCTATAAATACTCGCATTGTTTTGATAAGAATTGACATCCGGTTAAGTCGGCCCTCGAAAATGAAGCCCAAGCCTAACCGCAAGCAAAAGCCTGAGGTCTGAACTCTGCCCCTAGGCGGAATCAAAGAAATATGAGACTGTGATTAGCTGCTTCCCAATTTATTTTTGTTTTTCTTGGTCCAGTTGGCACCTTGCCATATTTGAGATGCAAAAACACGTATAACTTTTCATCTTTGGAATTATCTTATTAATTACTATTATAATATACATAATTTTTACAATTTTTGGGGATGTGACCCACTCTCCTACCTCCCTAAGTCCATTATTACTTAGATGGTGCCAACATAATTAGGATGATCCTTTTTTAATGATAATACAGTTTCGTGGACCTTGTTTTCGCTTTTCTTTTGTACATCTATCCAAAAAAAAAACAAAACAAACAAACAAACAAAGTTGCGCCAACGGATCACCTCTCATGTGTCGAGATGTAAGGCCTATTATTTTTTGGATTTCTTTAATATTTTATTACTTTTTTTTTTTTAATAATTTTTGATGAACTCACGGACCGGTTTGATTGGCAACCTAATAGGCCACCTCTCATAGGTGGGCCTGCCCAGAGGTGAGTTGTTGGGCTAAATAATGACCCTTAGTTTTGGCCTTTGGGCTATAGATCAACCAAATAAAGCAGGTGGTGTGCGTGCTTCCCTTACCCCTCCCTCCTCCATAGACCCCTCCATCCCATTTATCTGACTCCTCAACCCCTCCCCTCCTCTCCCCATCACCCCCACCTCCTTCCTTTTCTCCCCCACCTCCTTCCTTTTCTAAACATTTAGTTTACATTTTAAGAGTCGCTTACACATTTAGAGGAAAGTGATTTGAGATGACAACAGATTTAGATGTACACTATTATTTAGCAACTTTAGTCACTCTTGATTGACATTCTAAGCATTTGTAATTCCAAAATGTCTTAAAGATTTTCTCATGTAGCTAAACTATTCCAATTGAACCCATGGTAACAGTGAAACCATGGCAGTGTAGAAGCCACTTCCAATACTTCTCCACTGGAATCCTATAATTTAGTTACACCAGCAGCAATTTCTGAACAAGTAAAGAAAAATTAATCCCCTTGTTTTAGACAATCATGTTCTTTTTCCATATGTTTTTCTTTTTTTATTCCTCGGGCAGCGAAGGCAAAGTTGCCGGCCAGCTGCCCGCCGGTGAGAAAAAAAATACAGGTTCAAATCTTATAGCTCTGATACCATGTAAAAAATAAATTGATAGAGAGAGAATTACAGAGAGAATAAATTGTATGTATTAAGATTGATGTTAAGTGTATCTATTACAAATGGTGAGGGACTCCTTATATAGGAGATGTAGTGGAGTAGGTGGTAGTAGGTGGTAGTGGTAGGTGTGTAGTAGGTGGTAGTAGGTGGTGGTAGGTGTAGTAGGTGGAGTAGGTGATGGTAGATTTTAACAAGTATGGCTTCATTTACTATATACTTCAAATATATCCAAATATGAACATGTATACAATTGAGATCTCCATTTACTATACCCATTCCTCCCTCAATATAATTATCTGATATATATGAGTAACAAAGGCAAGCAGATGAAAAGGAAAAGAAATTCAAAAACCATTCACTTGCAAACGACACAGTTGATAAATGCATTTTCTTATCTACCTTAAAGTTGAGGAGAGTGAAATAGAGGCTTATCCACTGGAAATGGATGTGGTAGAGCTACTGACCCATTTGTTGGTCACGGAATCCGGTGAGGATAGTGACTTTGTTTTCTTCAACAACACAACATTGTCGCTATGAGGCGAAGAAAGTGATTGTGCACTTGTCAATGCCCCAACATTGTCAATTCTCTCCCTGGTGTTCTCATTTCTGTACTGCTTAATATCCTTTAAAGCTTCTAGAACCTCATCCATTGTAGGCCTCATTTCCTTTTCAAGTTGCAAGCATCTAAAAGCCACCTCTGCCACTGATGTAATCATCATTTCAATTGAAGAATCTGACTTAAACCCAAGTGTTAGGTCAACTAACTCATCCAGGGTACCATTTTGGATCCTGTTTATCGCTAATTTAGCCAAATTAATCTCTTGCGTATGCCTAGTAATGTCAACAGCTGGCATTGATGAGATGAGCTCAACGAGCACAACCCCAAAGCTATAGACATCACTCTTATCGGTGAGTTGGTAGCATTGGCGGTACTCTGGATCAACATAACCGGGAGTCCCTTGGGGGGCCATTGAGATATGAGTGACATCATTGGGAAAGAGTCTTGAAAGCCCAAAATCAGCAACTTTGACAAAAAAATTGTTGTCGAGGAGTATGTTGTTAGTCTTGATATTGCGGTGGATGATATCAGAAGCATGGAGGTAAGCCAATGCACTGGCGGTTTCTATGGATATGTTCATACGAATAGGCTATGTGAGTGAACCAACATTTGCTTGATCACCATGTAGATGATCAGCAATGGTACCATAGACGAGAAGTAGTTCCCTGCTCAGGTGTGAGGTGCAACCATAAAGGGCGACAAGATTGGGGTGGCTCAAGGAGGTTAGGATTTTGATTTCATTCATGAACTGCCTCACCCGCTTGTAGTTGTGCTCGTACGGACTCCATATCCCTCATATGAGGGACTAAACAACCCTAGGGAGGGGGGGATTATTTTCATGGGATACCAATCACATGGGACTAATGTATGAAATGTCTATTTTACCCTCATGCTATTACTTAGTAAACAATTGAAAAATGATAAAATAGTCTTTTAAACATTTATAAATTATTTTTTTAGTGTTGTTAATTTAAAATTATATATTAAATAAAAAATATAAATTATAAATTATAAATTTAATTTAATCAAAAATAATAAATTAAAAATTATGGCCTTAAAAATTAAATTTTTTTAGTTTTGTTAAAAAATTAAATTTATATATTAAATAAAATTATTTTTTTAGTGTTGTTAATTTAAAATTATATATTATATAAAAATATAAAAATTATAAATTATAAATTATAAATTATAAATTATAAATTTAATTTAATTTAATTAAAAATAAAAAATAAAAAATTATATATTAAATAAAAAATATAAATTATAAATTACAAGGGTAAAATAGTCTTTTGAACATCTATCTTTATCCAGTCCGTCCAACCAAACATTAGATTCACTAAAATAGTCTTTTCTAGACATCTAATCCCATGAGAAAACAAACACGGGATACACATGTCCAATCCAACCAAACAATCCGAGAGATTCACAGTCTTAGGATTCAAGTCTGATGGATTCTAATCCCCATTATCCAGTTCGTCCAATCAAACACACCCATAAACTCTACAACACATCATTCAACCTCTATCGCACACAAATTTTAGGCACATCCCAAGCTTAATATTTTGAATAAGTTGGAAACTACCTACGTAAATGTGTGATGCTGTTGGTGACAATGAAAACTTGAACCTTTTGCTACTCCCTTTGAATATTCTATCTGTGTGATGTTGTTGGTGACAATGAAAATTTAAACCTTTTTGTACTCCCTTTGAATATTCTATCTTGAAGATTAGTTGTGTTTGATAAAGTTAAAAATTAAATGCTAAACTAATTGAATTGAAAAATTATTTGATAAAAATTAATGTTAAAATTAAAATAAGATGAAATCTGAAATTTATTAGTATTTTAAAATTTTTCTCTTTCAATATGAATATATTGTGATGATGGTGAGGTGGAGGTGGCGGAGGCAGCAATGACAATGATAGTGGTGGTTATGGTGGTTATGGTGCTAATGATGATGGTGACGGTAGTGGCGGTGTACAATGTGGAGGGATAATAATTGTGGTGATAGTGGAGAGGTGGTGTAGTGGACGTAGTGTTGAACCATTTTAATATCTTTTATTTATTTATATATATATTTTGTTCATGAATCTTCTTTTGTCTTGTTCATGAATCTCATCTTGTTCATGAATGGAGATTCATTGTTTTGGTGACCTTTTGTCTTGTTCATGAATGGAGATTAATTAGGTTCATGGACTTGGTGGTGAGTTAATTTTTTGGAGACTCTCCCTTTTCTCTAGGTTCATGGTCATTATTATTTTTTGGTGTATTTTGTAAAGTCCTAGAGACCTATATATAGTTCTTCTCATCTACTCTGTTTTTACACCAACAAACCAACTATTTTCTATACTTGAGAGATTACTAGCAAAGAAGGATGTTTTTTTTTGTAGAGCTTTGGGTTCACTATCTTGTGCAAAGCTGGCCTGAATCAAACGACAAGTGGTCGGACTGTTGTATCTTGGAGGGGACAAGTCATATTTTTGTGACTACTGTATCGGTATTTGGGTTTTTCCTACTGCAGTAGGTTTGATCTCCTTAAAGAAAATGAGATATCTGTGCCTCAACCTGATCTATTTGTATCTTATTTTCTTTGCATTATTTATCAATAAAATATAATTTTTTTTGGTATTTTCACCAACAATTTTAAAGAGACCAACCATGGAACAAGTACCAGAAAAAACCAATGATGGAATTGGAGATCTCAACAAGCCTTTCAAGTTCAAGGGAGTTCATTTTAAGAAGTGGAAAGAAAAAGTTCTTTTTTACCTCAGCCTTTTGAAAGTTGAATATGTTCTTACCGAGAAGAAGCCAAACAAAATCCCAACTGAGGAGATGAATGATAAAGATACGAGGCACATGAAACAAAAGTGACTTTCTACAATACAGATGCGTATAAATGTCATTTTTATCTCTTAAATTTCCTTGTTGGTTAATTTTATGATTATTACTATGACACCACTTATACTTTGTCTTCTATTGATTTTTTTCATGCTCGCTTGTGTCATATTAACAGTAAATATGTGAGAATCATGAGTAGTTTCGGATTAATTTCTAAAGTGACAAAAAAATTTAAGAAATGTAAAGTTTGCAGTAAAGCAAAAATTACCAAGAGACCTTATAAAAGTGTTGAAAAAAATACCAAATTGCTAGAATTATTTCATACTGATTTGTGTGAGTTTGAAGGAATTTTAACTCGTGGTGGTAACTGATATTTTATCACTTTTATTGATGAATTTTCAAAATACACAAACGTATATTTATTAAAAAAATAAAAGTGATGCTTTTGAGAAATTTAAAGAATTCCATCATGAGTAGAAAATCAATTCGGTAAAAAGATTAACAGAATGAGAAGTGATAGAGACCGGGAGTATGAATCTCTTAGATTCAACTCATTTGTTCAGTCATTAGGAATTATTCATGAGACTACTCCACCATATTCACCTTCATCTAATGGCGTAGCTTGAAGAAAAAATAAAACGTTAATTGACTTGACGAATGTTATGCTTATTGATTCAGGTGCTCCCTCAAATCTTTGGGGCGAGGCTATTTTGACAGCTTGCCATGTGATAAATAGAGTGCCACGCAAAAAGACTAAAATTGTACCTTATGAGTTGTGGCGGAGGCATAAACCAAATCTAAGTTATTTGAAGGTTTGGGGTTCTTTAGCTTTTGTGAGGCTTGCAGATCCTAAATGACCTAAATTGGGTGAATGAGCTACCACCTGTGCTTTTCTTGGGTATGCGTTGCATAGTACATCTTGTAGATTTTTTGATATGGAAAATAATATTATTTTTGAATCAAGTGATGCTATTTTTCATGAAAATAAATTTCTTTTCAAATCTAGAAATAGTGGGAGTCAAATAATTTCTGAAAATATTTTATCCATGCTTAGCTTTTCTACTCCTTCTCAAGTTTTTCAAGAACAAGAAAATTCTCAAATCCAACCAAGGAGTAAACGAGCTAGAGTTGAAAAAGATTTTGGCCCTGGCTATTATCTTTACAATGTAGAAGAAATTCCTCTTACGGTGCAAGAAGCTTTATCATCACCTGATACTATTTTCTGGAGATAAGCTGTAAATGATGAGATAGATTCACTAGTTTCAAATAAAACATGGAAGCTAGTGGATTTACCTCCAGGTTGTAAAACTATTGGGTGTAAATGGGTCCTTCGTAAAAAACTTAAGCCGGATAGAACTATAGATAAATATAAAGTGAGGCTTGTTGCTAAAGGTTTTAAGCAACAAATTGATCTTGATTTTTTTGATATTTTTTCTCCGGTTACTAGAGTTACATCCATTAGACTGTTGATAGCAGTGGCTACAATTCATGATTTAAAAATTTATCAAATGGATGTAAAAATAGCATTTTTACATGGAGATCTAGATGAGGATATTTACATGGACCAACCCGAATGCTTTGTGGAGCCTGGCCAAGAAAGCAAGGTGTGTAAGCTAATTAAATCCCTTTATGGTTTAAAACAAGCTCCTAAACAGTGGCATGAAAAATTTGATTCCTGCATGTTTGAGAATGGCTGTAAGACAAATGAATGTGATAAGTGCATATATTATAAAACTTGTGAAAATGCACATGTGATTATTAGCCTATATGTAGATGATCTACTTATCTTTGGCTCTAATTTGCATATTATAAATGAGACAAAAAATATGTTTAACATCCATTTTGATATGAAAGATCTTGGTGAAGCCAATTTTATTTTGGGAATTAAAATTACCAAGACTAATGATGGCATTTTTCTTGATCAGTCGTATTATGTTGAGAAAATTTTAAAGAAATATAATTTTCTAGACTGTAAACATGTTGCTCCTCCTTTTGATGGAAGCATACATTTATCTGTTGTAACAAATGAAAAAGAAGTGATTAATCAAAAGGAATATTCTAGCATGATTGGTAGTTTAAGATATGCTACTGACTGTACTAGACCTAACATTGCATATGTTGTTGGAGTACTTAGCAGGTTTACTAGCAAGCCAAGTCGAAATCATTGGCTAGCCATGGGAAGAATTATGAGATATTTATCTAGTACCAAAAATTATGGTTTGTTAACAAGTATCCTGCAGTACTTGAGGGATATAGTGATACCAATAGAAACACTTTGTCAGGTGATTCTCTCTCTACCTCGGGTTTTATTTTTACCTTGGGTGGTGGTGCTATATGTTGGAAGTCTAAAAAACAGACTATAATTTCTAATTCTAATATGGAAACTGAACTTATAGCGTTAGCTTCAGTATGTGAGGAAGCGAATTGGTTGAAAGATTTGTTACATGAAATCCCTTTTTGGGAAAAATCAATTCCTCATGTGTTAATTCGTTGTGATAACACTGCTGCTATTGGTAGAGTGAATAACCATTTTTATAATGGTAAATCCAGACCTATTCGAAGGAAACACAGTAATGTGAGATCCTATTTGAGTAATGGCATCATAACTGTGAATTATGTAAAATCTTGTGATAATCTTGCGAATCCGTTAACCAAGGCCTTGGCGAGAGATAGGGCCTAGAATACATCGAGGCGAATGGGTTTGAAGCCAATAAAATTATAAACCATGTATGAGGATACCCAACCTAGGGACCAGAGATCCTG